TCCTCTCTCTCCTCCATCATCTCTTCTCTCTTCCCATCATCCCCTCTCTCCTCTCCATCATCCTCTCTCCCCTCCATCATCCCTTCTCCCCTCTATCATCCCCTCTCCCCTCTATCATCCCCTCTCTCCCCTCCATCATCCTCTCTCCCCTCCATCATCCCCTCTCCCCTCTATCATCCCCTCTCCCCTCTATCATCCCCTCTCTCTTCCCATCATCCACTCTCTCCCCCCCATCATCCCCTCTCTCCCCCCACAGCTCTCTCCTCTCAGGCCCCCATTAGCATGGGGGAAGGCGTGGGCAGGCTGGGACTGATGGCAGTCAGTGCCACAGACAGCATCTGAGGGGCACAGAAAGAAGCCAAGAGCCCCCGAGAGAGGAAGGCCTCCAAATGCATAGCAGGGGTGGGCACTAGTGGCTCACGCCGGTAACGCTAGCTATTCAGAGGTTGAGGATCATGGTTCAAAGCCAACCTGGGCAGGAAAGTACAGCACTCAGGCCCTGAGCTCCAGTCCCAGTACTGACACTAAACAAAACCAAAAACTCACAGCAGGGCTGGGGATGTAGCTTAGTGGTAGAGCCCTATGGTGTGAGAGGCCCTGGTCTCAATCCCTAGCACTGGAAAACAGCGCAGTCAGCCTTCACGGGAACGGGGTGCTTGCCCCCCAGTTCCCCGCACCCAGGTTGCCTTCTGCCCATCCCAGCTCCTGTAATATATTTTTAGAATGTTTGCACGAGGGACATTCCAGCTCTTTCCAGATCAGTTACAAGACACACTCTTCCTCACTGCCAGGGAGAAATGTAGCAGTGGGGGCTGGGGGGAGAGAGAGAAAAAAAACACACCTTGCCTGTAATTGAAGGCAGGTTGGGAGCTGTTCATACTTTGAAACGCTCCTTCTTGTGAAATGTTTATGAAACACTTTCCACAAACGAGTTATGCAACTGGGACAACAGCTTTGATCATTTTCATCACCAGTGATATATTCATTAGTGTTGGATTGTTTTCCTCCCCCCTGAGAGAGGGTCATGTGAAAATGCCCTGGGGCAGGAGCTAAAGAAAAGCCCTCTTGTCTATGACCCCCATTGGCCAATGGACACTTAGGAAGGAGGCACAAGTGTACAGCAATGCCAAGCCATTGCATGCGGTCCAGTCTCCTCCATCTGTGGGACAGTTGTAGTATTATTGTCTGGTAGAAAAAACATGGTGTGTGTTGGGCGGGGGGCGAGCATTGGGAGATCATGGTTTGGGGGTTATATCTGCCTCTTGCTATATAACTTGCATCTCTGCGGGGTTCTGGGAGGTGGGGAGGCAAGCCCCGTGCTCAGGGGGAGAGGCCAGTGGGCTCCACACTCCAGGACACACCACCTCCTCCTGGAGACCCCTTCCTTCCAGAAGGAAAAGACTACTTTTTAAGGCAGGGGAAGAAGTCACAGAGTTCACCGGGATTAGCAAAGATAATCACCCGCGATAGCTTCTCACCTCCCTGGTCACTGCCCAAGCCTCCCAGTGGGTGGAAAAGATCCTACACCCACAAACCCCAACCCACAAACCGTGTTCGGTCAGGAGGTCGGGGCAGGCCCTCTGTGGTGGTTCTCACGCCGGGGGTCTGGCCGACCCAAGCAGTTCTCGCGTTACAACTCCTGGAGCCCCGGGAGAGGAGCTTCCCCATCCCGGGCAGGCTGCGGCTTTGGTTGGATTTTCACAAGTACGCGGGAAAATCGGGGCTCTATCCAATTCGCCTGCAGGCCTCACCTCAGAAGTTGTCAGGCCCTGACGGAGGGCTCCACAGCCAACGCCCGAGCCTGGCAAGCTCTCAGCTTCGCCACTCAACAGCTGTGAGAAGGGATTTTTTTTAATTTTTGGATTAGACTGACTTTATTTGTAATTTCCTAGTGTCTTAGTCCCAAGGGTGTCCAAAAAGTATTTCTGCAGGCAATACTTGTCAGTGAACCTTCTCTTCCTAGCCTAGCTCTGGCTTTCCTGAGCACCACTGACCAGAAATCAAGATGTGTGTGTGTGTGTGTGTGTGTGTGTGTGTGTGTGTGCGCGCGCTCGCATGCGTGCGTGCGTGCTGGCACTGGGGCTTAAATTCAGGGCCTGGTGCTAGTGCTCACTTCCGCCATAGCTCTACTTCCAGGTTTTTGTTTGTTTGTTTGTTTTGCTTGCTAATTGGAGAGTGTCACAGAGTGGCTTCAAACTTTGGTCCTCAGATCTCAGCCCCCTCTGAGTCGCTAGGGTGAGCCCCCAGCACCCTGTTCAAAAATCAAGATTCTGGAACCCGGTGTCTGGTGCTCATTAAACAAATACCACAAAACACCATTTCAGCGAGCAGCACCTGCAGCCCAGCGAAGCCCAGAACCTGCACCTTCATCAAGAAGCGTCCTTTCTGTCTTCCAAGTGGTTTCATCTTTTTGGGGGGCGGGGAGGGGAAGGGGTTATCATTAGCACATCAGTAATTATGAAAAGTAGAATAAAAGATCAGTGGACTGGGGAAAAAAATCCTAAACTAAATAACAACAAACACAACACTTTAGACAGTCACGCAGGAAATTTCCAGAAAGTCTCAGATTGCATCCTACACCCTAAGGACCTTTCCACTAGCAGGAACTGGGAGGTGGGGGTGGGTGTCTTCTCCCCCCTCTCCTAGAGAATGTGGGGACCACTGATCTAGGAAGCAGATGAAAGGCTGTGCTTTCTTTCATGATGGCCCTGGTCTGTGCAGGAAGACTTGGTTTGTTTCAGGAAGACTTGGCACAGTGCCCAACAGATAGCCGGGCTGGAAGCAAAGCGCATGTTTTCTAGCTCTGTCACAGCTGCGCCTTCTTATCTCTGCGTGCGCATAATGAGTCTGGAAAAGAACCTGCCACTTGCCTCCACACCACCTCCCCAGCTCCCCCGGGCGGTTCCACCAGTGTGATCTCAGCTCTGGCTCGCCCGCCCGCCCATTCCCTCTGCCCCCTGCCTCCTTCCTTCTCCCCTGCCCCGCAACTGGGACAGGGACCGAGAAGGGAAGAGTGGTACGGTGGAACCCTGGCCAAAGGGCTTTGCCTCAGTAGTCTTAGGGCAAACGTTAGGGTTGTTTTCATAAGTGTGTGTGTGTGTGTGTGTGTGTGTGTGTGTGCGCTCTGATGGTGGTGGTGGTGAGCATATGCATGTGTAGGAATGCAGCACCTGCATGCTGTCCCTTCGTTCACACAAGGCCGTTGTTCTACTACTTAAGCCATTGGTCCACTTCTGGCTTTTTGCTGGTTCACTGGAGATGAGTCTGGTGGACTTCCCTGCCTGGCCTGGGTTTGAGCCTCAACCCTTAGATCTCAGCCTCCCAAGTAGCTAGGATGACAGATGCCAGCCACCAGCCCCTGGCTGCAAACAGCTGGGGATGGGGCGCGGGCTCATCATCCTACCTTTTCTCAGGAGGCTGAGACCGGAGGGCCAGGAGTTCAAGGCCAGCCTGGGTTATATAGTAAGACATCTTGTCAAGAAGAAAATAACAAGAGCCTTCCTATGAAATGGAACCTAGAATATCAGAAACTCGTTTGTGAGGGCAGAGCTAGAACTGCAGCTCTTCTTAGACAGAGGAGCTGGAGGGCCAGGCCAGCACCAGGAGCCACGCTTTTGAGTCCTCGGTCCTTCTCTGCGCCATAGGGCGGCTTTCCGATCCCTCCTTCCTCTTTGCCACCAAGGCTCCAAAATGGTCTCCTTCCATGAGCAGAGCAGTTTGTGAAGACTGCCAAGAGAGCCCTCCCTCAGGAAGTGCTGCCGGCCGGCCGGGGCTCGTCTGTGCCCTGCCGGACCTGCTGTGTCCGAGTTCCACACCCACCCTGGGCGCCTGAGCCTGCCGAGTGCGGGGAGGGGGGACTGGAATTAGTCACTGCAGTTTAGGATTGAAAGGGAGACAAAACTGGGCAGGATCATCCATCTGCAGGAAGGGGAAACTGAGTCCCCTGAGAGGCGGCGTGCGTACTCCAGGTTACGTGGGAAGCTAGGGGGAGGCTGGGCTCAGTGCCTTCCTGCGAGCAGGGGGGGGGGCGGGGCTTGTGTGTGTCTCTTCTTCAGATGACATTCCTATGCCTATGGTATATACCAACTACCCTCTGCGGATTTTCACCCACATCCACCTTCTGGTTCAAGTACAGGTGTTAATCCCAATGGCCATTTTCTGTCTTTCTTTCTTTCTTTGTTGAGGGTGACATGGTCTTGCTATATGTCACAATCCTCCTGCCTCCACCTCTCAAGGGCTGAGATTAAAGGTGTGCACTACCACACCTGGCTCTTAGTTTCAGCGTTCTCATTTGGGTTAGACTAGTCCCCCACAGGAGAGATTCCAAGCTATCAGTGAGATCCTCAGTGTTGGTCCTAACCGGATTTGAAGCCTCCACAATCTCTACAATCAGGAGTTCCCATGCACAGGGCTGGGGAGAAAAGCCATCCTAGTCACATGTGAGAATGTCTGTGAAGGAACTCTGTTCAACTCCAACACCTCCCTTTGAGAACGAGAGAGCATCATCTCAGAACTGACAAGAGTCTAGTCCTGCCAAACATGGTGGCATACATCTATAACCCCAGCACTCGGGATGCTGAGGTGCGAGTTCGAGGCTAGCCTGGGCTACATCATGAGAACATGTGTCAAAAAGAAAGAGGGAAAATTAATCCACTAATAACTTTACTTTTAGAAGTAAACTTCTCATTTCAATGAGTCGATGAGTAGGAATATGGACCACAGTAGAGCCACTGGCCCAGCCCCCCTTGCTTCCCCCCCTCCCCCCGTGCCACATGGTGTGGGGACACAGTCAGGATAGGTGACTGCCCGACTTGCAGACTGGACAGTTGGCACACGTACTTTCTGACAGCTGCCCTGCCTGAGGCAAAAGCTGGCAGGAAAAACAAACCACAGACCTGGGCACTGGTCTGGCTGTGATCTCTCCCCAGGCTGCCCACTGGGCTCTGGCCTCTGCCCAGAGAGGCCTGGGACTGACCGCTGCCCCCTGCCTTCCCTTGCAGATTAAAACAGAGGACCTCGGTGACACCCTACATCAGCCCCTCCCACATCGGCCATGTCACCTGAGCCAAGGACCCGCCATGATGTCGGGGAACCAAATATCTGGGGTAGGTGCCAACCTGTGCCAGGACCTCCCATCTCCTAGGCTAGCTGGTGAGTTCAGTCCCGTCCTTCTGAAAAACGCTAGCCTGCCATGCTTGGTGGCCTGTGATTTGGTAATAGTCTAAAGAGCTCTTTACTGGTCTAAGAGCAAAGGTAAAATATGGGGTCAAGGGGGACCAGTGGTGTATACCTATAATCTCAGGCTGAGATCTGAGGATCACAGTTCAAAGCCAGCCCAGGTAGGAAAGTCTGTGAGACTCTTCTCTCCAATTAACCACCAAAAAGCTGGAAGTAGAGCTGTAGCTCAACTGGTAGAGTCCAGTCTCCAGTGAGAAATCAAAGCAACAGCACCTACATCCTGAGTTCAAGGCCCAGTACTGGCTTTTTTTTTTTAAGGAGATCAGGGAAGGGGTGGGATTCTAAAAGAGTTCTTGCATGGTGAAGACAGGCTGGTGATGTGAACAGAGGGTTTCTCCTGCAGTGACACCAAAAGGGCTGGTCTTGCCAAAATGCGGCTGATGCTTGCCTGACAGTGACCGCTGAGTCCCAGGAGCCTCCGGCCCCTAAGGGCTGCTCTGCCCCTCCAAGTTCCTCCGTGAACACACACCAGGCTGGCCTGGTTGCTGACGGACGGGCCCCCAGGCAGCACCCGTGGCCGGTCCTTCTCTGTGGTGAAGGAAGAGCCAGCCCTGCAGCGATCCCCAGCTCTCCCTTTGTCTGTTCAACCCATCAGCCCACCAAGCTGCACTGAGGGCACGGGCCTCCGTTCAGCCCACAGTCAGACCCCCAGAGCAGCCCCCAGCACCCCCAAATGCTAACCTCGCTATTTCCAAGTTCAGAGCTGGTGAAAAAAGCCCAGAGGAAACAACTTGTGTTGAAGTCAGTTGGTTTTATTAAGAAGAATCAGCTTCCCTGGTCTCCATGGCTCCCCGCTCAGAACTCCCCACAAACACCCTCAGAGCCTGGCTTTCTGCTCAGTCAATGGACATGAGATTACACACCAAACTCCACAGCCGGGATTGCATACCATCTCTGGGGTAAACCTTTGAGACGTGGGTAATGCCTGCTGTCAGCCCTGGGGGCCTCGGCAGTGCGAGTTGGGACTGACAGGAGTATGAATCCGTGAGACGCGAGCGTGGCGGTGCGTGGCAGGGTTCAGAGGTGCAGCAACCCCAGCATTCACGGGGTAGCTGCTGTGTGCCACGTGCCAGCGACGCCCCGCAGCAGGAAGCAAGCTTGCTGCCTGCAAAGTCTGGAGGCCCGCACAGGCCTCAGGCCCGGGGAGATAGGGTCCCCCAGCTTTGAGGGACGTGACACAGGTGTCTTTCCACCCGCAGGACATGGCCTCGCTCCATCCACTCCAGCAGCTGGTGCTTGTTCCCGGCCATCTACAGTCTGTGTCTCAGTTCCTGCTTTCCCAGACCCCATCTGGGCAGCAAGGTAAGAACCCGGGAGCAGGCACAAGCCCAGGACCAGCCACATGCCGTTACTGGCACTTCCCGAGAAAGGGGCTCACCCCGCTGGTATTAAAACCAGCCCCTGCCATGCTCTAGGCCGAGGTCCCTTTCCTTGCTGCCCCTTGCTTTCTTAGCCGCCTGCTGGGGCTGGCCACCCCCTGGGCCTCAGGGGAGTTGAGCCTGATTGGGGGGGGGCGCAGGGATGGGGTGGCACAGGGGGAGAAGCCCCACTTCCTCCAGAATCTTTTCTGGATGGATGCATGCAGTCACTCCTCAAAGTCTGGCGCGGTTCTGTCTGCACGGAGCAGCAGCACCCCCTACAGGCCGTGATGAGCACTCTCAGGTTGTCTCAGAACTTCTCCCTGACCCAGGGCAAACATGTTCAACTCCTGCTGACATTCCTTGAGCGTCAAGCACAAAGGCTCTGCCTTTCATCCTGACTGATTCCTCAACCTAACCTGTGTGGTAGAGAGTCGAACTATGCCTCTGGGAACCTTCCAGAAAGTACTAGAACAGTCCGACTGACACCCATGTTCTCTTCTGCCCCTTCCATTCCCATCTCTACCAAGTGAGGCTGGAAATGATGAAGGAAGCCGAACTCTCACCTGCTGTATAGCTGACAAGCAGAGAGTTTGGAAATCCAGAATGTAAACAAAATGCCACTCTACCTTCCTGCCCAAGTTACACTTGCTCTCCTTCACATCCAAGGCATCTGAGACCAGTGTCAGGAGACGCAAGAATATGGCCAATCTTTACGTGTTTCCGTTGAGCAACACACGTCACCCTCTTGGAAGGGGAAGAGGACTAACAGTTAATTCAGTTATCAGAAGACGGAAGAATGAGGTGACAGAGCCCGGGCAGATGACCCAGGAGTTCAGAGTACAATGCAGGATGAAGCGTTGAAGTCAGTTTGAACTGTTTGAACACCCCTTGATTAAAAATCACTAATTAGCTGTGTGTTTTCCTAGAAAACTCACCTAACCTGTCTGAGCTTCCATTTCCTCCTCTATAAAAACGAGCGAATAATTCCTTTTAAGAGCTCGCATGCCTGCGCATTTTAATTAGGAACAATTAGGAGATCGAAGAACGTAAAGGCCAATAGCAGAACAGCAGAGGGACAGCACATACCCCTCAGGTGCCCCCCCTTCCTGCTGGGCAACCTGCCCCCCCCAATTGTCTGTGTTGATGACTGATGGCAGTTAGAGTGAGAGGTGCTGGCCAGGGTCCTTCCAAGAAGGAGGCTCGCTGTCCCGGTCATCAGCCTGGCAGATTCCCTTGGGAGACAGCTTTCCTCCAGGGGGAGGGAGGAGGATGTCTACGGGCAGCACGTGGAGCAGAGGCATCGTGCGGTCCAGGCTCCTGGCTGCAGGCCTTGCCTCCTCTCTCTGCTTTTCTCCCGTGTATGGGAGCTTTGGACCAATGACCAGCTGTCCCTCCGAGCTGCATGGCCCCGTGGCTCCCCCTGTAGCTGGGCTCCAGTAGCATCCCAGCCACTTCCGCCAGGGAGGACTCGGTCCCTCCCCTCCCCTCCTGCCTCCTCAGCCCTGCTAACCGTCTCCCCCCCCCCCTCATGGGTTTGCCCTGACCCTTCTGGGCCTTTGAGCCTCTGTGAGCAGGGCAGCAGGGCGGGCAAGTGGAAGGACTGGTTTGGGACTCCTGTTTACATCTCTGTTTATCCCTGTGTCTGGCTGGCCTCCTCCCGTATGTGGCAAGGCCTGGCGGTGCCTGGGGGGCGGGGAGCCTCCACAGGGCTCCGGGTGGGTTGTGGGACCTGATTGGGATGTGCGGGGAGGGGCCCCCCTGTGTCCAGCCTGTCTTTCAGGTGCCCTAGATTTGATCTTCTGCCCCTCCCTTCTCACCTAGGTCTGCAGCCGAATCTTCTCTCCTTTCCACAGCAACAAAGCAACCTCCTCCTCCCACAGTCGGGGCCTGGCCTGGCCTCCCAGGTAAGAAGTGCCCACCTCCCCTGGGTGTCGGCAGCCCGTGGGGGGCTCCCTGGCCTCTTTAGCTCCTCTAGGACCCGAACGACTGGAGACTGTCCAGCAAGCGCACGGGGGAAGGAAGCCCAGTTACAGCCAGAGGTTTGTCCCAAAGTCACTGACGAGGCCAGGAAATGAGAATCCAATGCCCAGGCTGTGGTGGGCACTGGACCCGGCCGTCAGGTCCTGGCATCACTCCTCTGGGAACCAGGGCCCAGACAACATCCGGGGAATACCAAATGACACCCCCCCCACACCCGAGCTCCTCCTAGGTGCTCTCACGCCACCGAAGAGAGGGGGAAATGCCACAGGCTCAGTGTCCCAGACAACAGAGCCTCCTACCTCAGGCCCATGAGGCAGGCTGCATCCTGCAAGTGGGCGCCTGGGGAGGGAGGGCAGAGGGGTCATGGACACATGCAACGCCTATTCACCAATTAGAAAAAAAGATACCTATTCCGGGAGCCAGCGGCAGCCGAAGCTGCCGTTTCTTCCCTCAACACAGACTCCTAGGGAAAAAACAATAACCATAGGACTTGGCTCAAACGGCTGCAGTGATCTTGGTGTGAAGATCCTCACTAACCCAAGCTGCCCCCTCCCACCCAAGGATTAAAGCTCTAAGGAGGAAGGAGAGGTGTCACCTAGTAGTTAAAATAAATAGGGGCCTCCCCATCCCCATGCCCGCCTTCCAACCCTACCCCAGAGTTAGGATCTGGACTCGATCTCCGTCCTCCCAGAACTTTGTAGTTCTGGACCCAGATCTGGGAGAGGGACCAATGCTCACATCTTCTAATATTTGATCAGAGAGACCATTGGACTAAGATCATTCTAGTTGGGTACGGCGATGAGCGCCTCTAGCTCCAGCCACCTGGGACGTTGAGGCAGAAGCACTGGGTGCAGGTATTCAAGCCCAGGCGAGACAGCATAAAAGACCCCATCAAAGGAAAAAAATCTTCCTAGGGAGGGAGAATAAAGGACTGGTTTAGAGTCCTGATAAGGACTGGAGGAGAAAAATGAATGAACTATGCTGGAAAACAAAATCAATCCAATTGGGTAATTGACTGGTTGTGAAGGGGGAGGAAGGAGGTCTGGCAAAGAACCAGTCAAAGAACAAATTAATTAATGAGAAGGAAGTTTATAGGAAGACGGAGCCTTGACCCTGAAGGTCTGCTCTGGGCCAACTTCTCCCCAACACAACCCTGTCTGGCAGAACAGACCCTCTCTGTGAAGGCTTCCAGCCATTCTGTTGTAACACACGTCTCCCGGGGAACAGAGCCCTTCCTTAATTTGTCTCTGGTCTTTTTGCATTCCTCGTCATAAAGATGCCCATCAGAAGATGATTCTGAATATCTTGAGAGAGAGAAGGGGAAAGAGGGGCAGAGGCAAGGAGAGGAGGAAGGGAGACTAAGCCCTTTATCCATGTAGGCAGGGGCCTCTAAACTGGGCACAACCCAGACCCCTAAATCTAGATTGTACTTCATCCTTGCAAAAGATAGCTCTAGGTCAAAGAGCACTTTTCCTATGACAAAAAAAGACCAAAGAGAATATCTCCTGACCAGCATGAATAAAATGAAGGAAGCCAGGCATCCATGGCCCACGCCTGTAATCCTAGCTACTCAGGAGGCTGACCTCTGAGGATCACAGATCAAAGACAACCTGGGCAGGAAAGTCTTTGAACCCTGATCCTCAGATCTCAGCCTCCTGAGTGGCTAGAATGACAAGTGTGAGCCACTGGCTGGGCACCTAGCCTCCTCCTTTTTTTTCTACCCATGTATTCCAGTAACTCCACTTTCCTAGAAATTCCAATTTCCTGTTCCATTCCCTTTGCAAAAATAAGATTCAGTGTCTCCTGGGAACTGCCACCCTCTTGAGTTCACAAGAGGCAGACACTGGAGGGCGTGCCTTGGCCTGCTGAATCTCTGTGGGTCAGCGTGTCTTGTATCCTGCCCCCTCCCCCCCCCACAGGCAGTGGGCCGCCCCGGGCTGCCAGGATCCTCGCTAGACTCCCATCTGGAAGCCGCACCGCACCTCCCGGTGCCCAAGCATCCCCCAGGCCCCGGGGGTACCGATGAGCCCAGTGACCTGGAGGAGCTAGAGAAGTTCGCGAAGACCTTCAAGCAGAGGCGCATCAAGCTGGGTTTCACACAGGTTGGCGTGGGGGAAGGAGGCGGAGGAATCTGAGTTCAGGGAGTGGCCTGGGCCTCCTGCATGCAGCTGTGAGTGGTAGGGAAACGGAGGAGGTCGGGGCCAGTGGAGGGGCGAGGATGGAAGGCCGGGCTGGGTGAGAAGCCAGTGTTCCACCATAGAGGGGAGAGGGCTTGGGAAGGAGCAGAGGGGGCTGCGGGTGCTGACGGACTGGGGTGGGGACATAGGCGGGGGGCCTCGTGTCCATGGACCTCCTGCTCCGCTGCTTGCTCAGGGAGACGTGGGGCTGGCCATGGGAAAGCTGTACGGCAATGACTTCAGCCAGACGACCATCTCGAGATTCGAGGCCCTCAACCTGAGCTTCAAGAACATGTGCAAGCTCAAGCCCCTGCTGGAGAAGTGGCTCAACGATGCAGGTGGGTCTGGGAACAGCAGCGTGAAGAGCCGGGGGGGGGGGATTGCTCATCTGTGTGAGGCTTTAGGGGGCCGAGGCATAACACCCCTTTCTCCTCCATCTCCGTCTACAATGAGCTGAGAAGTAAGACAGTAGAAACAGTTGAGGAAGATAGAAACAGCCCCGAGAAAGCCCTCGGAGGGGCGAGGGGCGGCTTTTGGTCCATTAGGCCTCAGAACAGCTCCCGGAGGCAGTGTTTGGGTCAGCCAGCCAGACCGCATTTTCTCAGATCGCTGATGGCCACAGGCCCGGGCCTGGACAGGCCGGCCAGTCCCTGCGGGGGCTGGGCAGTACGGGCCTGGCACAGCCCTGTACCTCACCAGTCTGGCACAGATGTCAGGGCAGAGCCTATGGTCAGGCCTGGCTGGGAAAACCTGACCACAGGAGGGGGAGGGGGACAGGGGATAGTGCTGCCTGGAGGTCAAGGGTGCAGGCCAGCATCAGGTGTCGGAAATGGTGCATGCTGGGGGCAAGTGTGGGGGGGGCAGGGGAAGGAACCAGCCTGGTGTCAGGGAGTAATGTGGGGTGTGGAGGGTCTCATACATTGGGGCCAGGTGAACCTTTGTTGTTAGAGACTGGCCTCTATGTTGTAGGATAGCCGCTAATAGCACCCGCCTCCTCTGGTCATTACCAGCCTTTCCCAACGGAGGGGTGCTGGTCTAGAGTGGCCTGGCTCAGGGTGGAGAGGAAGGGAGGACAGGAAGGAGGGAGAGAGAGAGAAGGGTGGGTGGGAGAGAGGGAGGGAGTTTATCTCCAGGGCTAGGCTGTGTTCGGTGGTCGTGTGACGGTTCGTGGCTTCCGTGGAGCGGGTGAGCTGTGGAAGTCTTCCCCCAGGGAAACATGGGAAAGCGCAGAAGCCCCTCCCTCCCCCAGGCTGCCCCTGAGTCGGCTCTCAGGGAAGCATCCGAGCAGCAGAAATGATAGGAGGGCCTCGAACCTGTCCTTTACTACCTAGTGAGCAGACGCCAGCCTAAGGGGCGTCCCTCCGCCCCACCCACCCCGCAGCCTCGGGTCGAGCGCTGCTGGATAACTGGCTTTGGTGGTGACATTTTGCCACCAAGTGAAAGGGGCTTTGGGCTCAGAGTGCTAGTGTGCTCTACCTGGCACTTGAATGCTGGTGTGTCTGCGAAGCAGGCCCCCCAGTGGGAGTGGGCGAATGGCTGCGTGTCCCTGAGTGTGACCACTAATCCCAGACCCTCGGCCCAGAACAGCGAGAGGCAGGACTCAGTCTGGTCTGGTCCCCTGATGGAAGAGGAGGGGGCCAGTCCTGACAGTGTCACCACTGACCCCTGGGGAGACCCCGGTGTCCCCTTCACTGAGCTTGCTTTCCTTCCCCCCCCCCCCCGCCTCAGAGTCCTCCCCGTCAGACCCCTCGGCCGGCACACCCGCCTCCTACCCCACCCTCAGCGAAGTGTTCGGCAGGAAGAGGAAGAAACGCACCAGCATCGAGACCAACATCCGCCTGACTCTGGAGAAGAGGTTTCAAGATGTGAGTGGCCCCGGGGTGGGGGGTGAGGGGGAAGAGGGGGTGTGAAGCAGTGGGCAAGCAGGCACCCCAATGGGCAGAAGGCCAGGCCCAGAGCAGGTCTCCGGGCACCAGTGCCAACTGCCCCTCCCCCTACCAGGAAGATGGTCAAAAAACAAACCACACCTGTAATCCTAGCTACTCAGGAGGCTGACAATCATGGTTCAAAGCCAGCCCAGGCAAGAAAGGCTGTGAGATTCTTATCCCCAATTAACTAACAACCACAAAGCCAGAAGTGGAGCTGTGGCTCAGGTCATAGAGGTAGGCTAGCCTTGGACACAAAAAGCTCGGGGACAGTGCCTAGTCCCTGAGTTCAAGCCCTAGGACTGGCACAAAACAAAATAAAACAAACAAAAAAACCCAAATCCAAATCACCTGGTGTTCCCAGGCACCCAGGGATGTCAGCAGGAGGCTGAAACTTCCTCCGCCCCATTGAGCCCTCTTGTGCCTGGCCCATTATCCCTCTCACTGGGAGATGTAAAGAACAGAATCGAGGGACAGTATTTCTGTATCTAGATCATGAAAGCAAAGCCAGGGTGTTGCACATAAATTATCTTCTCTGAAAATCAATGTTGTTTTTCAGTTTTTAAAAATGTAATCAAATGCCCACTGTAAACAATGTGGACAATCCAGGGAGAGAGAGAAAAGGAGCCCAGCACCGATGCCCTCTGACTGCGTTTCTTCCTTGTTCCTTCCTTCCGTGCATCTTTAAAGGCTTACAGCCATGTTGCATTTCCATCACAGTGTACATGTGGTTTGAACTTGTGGCAAAAGCATGTGGCAAAAAGCCCTGGGGAGAGGGGGGAAACCCCGAGGAGGCTAAATAGCTTCTAGTCAGAATCCTTCAAGTCCCTGCCTCCAGAGTCTCCCTCAGAGCACCGGGCTCAGGGGCCTCATGGCTACAATCTGCTGCTGATCGGATGACCGAAGCCAATTTCTCCTTCATTTTCCATTTCTCAGATATCATTAAGAAAGGGTGCAGGAGCGTGGCAAAGGCTGGGTGCCAGGGATCAGAACAAGGGACTGGCAACCTTACATTATGTATAATTACCCAGCAGACGGTAGCTCCCTAGGGAGAAGGGACTGGACTTCAGGAAAGGACGCAAGGGATGGCGTGGCCCAGGCATTCTGTCTGCCCCCCCACCCACCCATAATCCCTCTCTTCAGACATATCCCGAGGATGGCAAGGAAAGGCCTACCTCTAGGGCCCTCCACTGTGTCCAGCGTGTGCCTGGCAGTTGACCCGGTTTTCTCCTGTAATCCCCACCCTAATCCGGCATGGTAGGCTCTGTTATCTCCTTTCATGGATGTTAAGACTCAGCAGTTACGCAAGTTTCCTAAAGACACCAACGTAATCTGTGCTCCACGAAGCCGGGGCCTGGCTCTAGAGCTTTGGATCTCTATCTTTCTAACGCCTGCCTCATTGCACCCACCCTCTATCCCTCACCCCAAACCTGACCGTGTTCCTTTATGCTCTGTCCGCGCCCCCCTCCCCCCAGAACTCCAAACCTAGCTCAGAAGAGATCTCCATGATTGCAGAGCAGCTATCCATGGAGAAGGAGGTGGTGAGGGTCTGGTTCTGTAACCGACGCCAAAAAGAGAAGAGAATCAACTGCCCTGTGGCCACACCCATCAAGTCTCCCATCTACAACTCCCGGCTGGTGAGTGAGGGGCAGGGAGCCTGCCAGACACGGTGGGGGGGGAGGGGGGTCATAATTACCTGGGGGGAGTGGGGAGGGCAGTCTTCTCCATCCTGGAGGGTGGTGGTCAGTAAGGAAGGAGGCATGTAACACACCAGTAAGCAAATGGGTGCTGGATATCACATGGAATTATGTGTTATGAAGAAGGGTGAGGAGCCAGAGCGCCCTCACACCTGTCATCCGGCTCTCGGGAAGTAGAAACAGGAGGGTCAGGAGTTTGAGGCCAGCAACACAGGGAGACCTTGTCCCCTCACTTTGTACCTCCAAAGAAGAGCAGAAATAAAGGGACACAAAGTGACTGAGGGAGGATGCTGATTGGAGATCAGAGAGGACTTCTCTGGTGGGGTAGCATTTGAACAGAGATCCAAAAATCATATGGGGAAGGGTGGTTGGAATTCGGTCTTGTTGGTGTTAGTCATAAAACTTGCATTAAAAAAACACACACCACTGATGTTTGCCAAACATCCATTGACCATCTACTACGTGCTAGTAGATGAACGCCATTTGTTCCCTGTCCCAGAGGGCCTTGGTGCTTAGCAGAGTAACAGACAAATAAACAAATGATAAACAGGATTCCTCTCCTGGGAGAGCTGGGGGCAGCAGCTAACCGAGCGCACTCCCTCCGAGAGGTGGTGATTAGTGCAGCCTCCCTAAGGAGATCATTAATACCTGTGTAGAATCCACCAGGACAAGGAGAGACAAATAAGTGTGATGGGAACTCTCGCCAGGGAGAAGAATGAGAGGGGTGTGGAAGGAGGGGCACACTTGCATATTCACGGAAGTGTGAGCGGTTTCTATGTGGAGGAATGTTGAGGCTGCACTGGTCAGCAGGGCTGGGTTACGAGGGGGAGGGATGCAGTGCTAAGGAAGTGAAGGCTTGTGGGAATTGTTGGCGTTGGCATGGGCAGATTTGCCTTTCGAACAATTGCTTGGACCTCAGGATAAAGGTTGGCTTCAAAAGTACAAGACTGGGGCTGGGAAGGTGGCTCAGTGGTAGAGTGCTTGTCTCGCATGCACGAGGCCCTGGGTTCGATTCCTCAGCACCACATAAGCAGAAAAAAAGCCAGAAGTGGCGCTGTGGCTCAAGTGGTAGAGCGCTAGCCTTGGGAGGAAGAGCTGAGGGACAGCGCCCAGGCCCAGAGTTCAGGCCCCACAACCAGCCAAAAAAAAAAAAGTACAAACTGGGGATTAGAAGCATGGCTGGGTTGCTAGAGTACCAGCCAATGAGTGAAAGTGTCCAATATCAAGCTTGAGTTCTGGTCTTGGATATATATATATATATATATATATATATATATATATATATATATATATATATATGATTGGTTACTATATCTGTATCTATATCTATCTGTGCTAATAGTGGGGCTTGAACCCAAGGCCTCATGTTCTTGCTTGGCTTTTTCACTCAAGGCTGAATCTGTACCACTTGAATCACAACTCCACTTCTGACTTTTTGCTGGTTAATTGGAAATAAGAATCTCACTGATCAATGTGCCTTCCTGGGCTGGCTTCGAACCTCAGTCCTCAGATCTTAGCCTCCCGAGTAGCTAGGATGACAGGTGCAAGTTACCAGCACCCAGCTTGGTTACATGATTCTTCGGTTATTCAGTAGCAAAATAATGTGGCTGGTTGTGAACATAGTTCAACTGATAGAGCACCTGCCTAGCAAGTACAAGACCCTGAGTTGAAACCCCAGTATTGCCCCCCCAAGGTAGTTAAAAATAATGAGGATGAAGTAAACTCATATGGTGAGAAAGAGGGGATGGGATGAACTCAAGAGACAACTGGAAGGTCTTGGTTAATACATGGAAAGCGCTGGGTGGGGACAGGGAAAGCATGGAAGAAAGAAGACTGAGCATGTGGGCTGGGATGTGGGGTAAATGGTAACCACCTTTATGCAAAAAGCAAATGGGATGAGCAGCTTTGAGAGTGGGCAGAAGGAATGACCGGCTCTTCACGCCAGGAGACTGTCCATAGGCATGTGGAGTGATGGGTGTGGAGGCCAGGAGAGGAGCTGAGATGGGGACATGGATGTGGGGAGAAGGCACTGTGCACAGATGGCGATGGAGAGCCTGGGTGGGGAGAGGCTCCACTGTGGAGATTGTATGGGGGAAATGAAGAGGGAAGGTCCTATCCCAATCCTGGGGATGGCAGCACTTGAAAGGAAGAAGCAAAGAAAGAGGATCCGGGAAAAACATGGAGAAGGAAGAGCCAGAAAAGGCCATCTACTGCAACCAAGTAGCCGGGAGAATCATTATTCGGGTGTTTGTTATGGGAACAGAGATAAAAGACACAGACTTCAGAATGGGACTCAGGAGGGCGGAGACCATCATTTGTTCGAGGAATACACTAGGAATTAGAAAGAGGAGCAGAGCAGCAGAAGGGACAATCCAGGAGAAGCATGGAGTTATGAACACCCTGCTGCTGTGAGGGGAATCTTGTGAAGAACTTCAGCCTGGCTGGAGCCAAGGGCTTGGGACTCAAAATTACAGAGGCTGAGGAAGGCTGGGTCATGATGTGTCCCAGGTACTCTGTGACCCCCAAAGCTCTAAGGAGCCACTGGACATTTTAAGTTGGAAGGCAGGGTGCTGATCGCTCATCATTGCTATCATAAATATTCATGGCATGCTTGGAGCTGGGGACACATTCCCTGGTGCATGTGTGCGTGTGCGTGCACACACACCCCCACACACACACGTAATTCCTGCCCGTGGTCTGTCTAGCATGAATAAATACGATTCGTGCTGACCTCCAGCGGTTCCATCCATAGGTATGACCTGTCATCAGAAGGAAATGGAAAGAGTTGGTCACTGTGACTCCATCCATTTATTATTTATTTGAACAACTTTTCTTGGGTGTGGCAGGCAGGGAGGGAAGGAGAAAGAGGAGCTGAGTGATAGCATCTCTCACCACTCCGCCACTCTCTTTAACTGTTCCCCACACCCATCTCCACCCTTCACCAGGGCCCCGGCCTACTGAGTAGGCTCATTGTCAGGGGAGAGGTACATGGAAGCAGCGAGAACCAATGCTGATTAATTAAGAAATGTGAACATGTTACATCCTGTTCAGAGGGGATGTTGCAGAAGGAGGAGAGGAGACACACTAAATCACGGGTCCCTGAGCAGAACTGCCTGTCTGTACCTTTGGAAATGCCATTCCAAGCTGCCCCTTTCTGGATGAAAAGAGTAAGGGGAGTTCAAGTAGACAGATCTCAGGGTGAAAGGAAAGTTAACAAAGCATTTAGTTATCTCCATGAGCTCCTGGCTTTACCTTCAGGAAAGAAGAGAACTAACATTTAACAAGCTGAAGCTCTTTGCCAGCCTTTGGGTTGGAACCTTTATGGACATTAGCTCACTAAATCTTAATTAAAAGGAAATAATCAGGGAGGTGTTGCTGCTGTTTTACAGGTGTGAAAACCCAATTTCAGTGGGGTTGGGTAACTTGCCCAAAGTCATAGAGATGGTGAATAATGGGACCTGGTCTGTTCTCTTTGATTCCACAGTATTCTAGGCTGTTCTAAGGATAGAAACAGCGGGAGAGAGGAGGACAGTGTACATGGGCAGTGACAATCATCTCAAGTGTCCCCCACCCCCGTCCTTTTTTTCCCAGTTCTGGCGCTTGAACTCAGGGCCTGGGTGCTGTCCCTAGGCCTCTTTGTGCTCAAGGCTATTGCTCTACCACTTGAGCCATAGTGCTACTTCTGACTTTTCCTGAGTAGTTTATTGGAGATAAGAGCCTCATAGACTTTCCTTCTCCGGGCTGGCTTTGAACCATGATCCTCATATCTCAGCTTGCTCAGTGCCTAGAATTACAGGCGTGAGCCACTGGCGCCTGGCTCAAGTCCCTTTCTGATCTCTGAGGTTGGAGCAGGGAAAGAGAATGAAGACTTGTAACAACCTTCGCTTGCCTTTCAGGTCTCTCCCTCAGGGTCCCTGGTACCCCTCTCTGTCCCTCCTGTCCACAGCACCATGCCAGGCACAGGTAAGCTTTAAAATGAGGTTTCTGAGACTAAAGGCATGATTCAAGTGGTAGAGCACCTACCTGCCTACCAAACCTGAGGCCCTGAGTTCAAATTCCAGTGCCACCAATAGTGAATTCATTAATTGAGATTGCTAGACAGCACCAAAACTCTTTTACATAACAGACATCAAGACTGAAATGTATCTGAAATGTATCAGGACTGAAAAAATGTATCTAAGGAAGCATGCCCTAAATGGATTTCAAAGGACATTAAAAATCTGTGCTAGAGAAAACAAGGTTTCATGATCAAAGAAGTCTGGGAAATGCTGGGTAAGCAAAGTTTAAACAAACGTGTGTTTGGTTTGGTTTTAATCACAGTACTCCTAAGCACTCTAGGGCATAATACATTCCAGTATGAGGTGTACCAGCAGCCCGAGGAAGGCAGAACTCCACATCATTCCTACAGGACTCTTAATTTTTTTCCCTCAAAAGTCCCTGTAGCATTTTGAAGAACTAGACAAGAGTGATTTGTGCCAGCCTTGGGTGCTGACATAGCTATCCAGATGTTCTCCATTTAAAAAAAAAACAGTGTTTTAGTTTGGATGATAAAATGTAGGTCACCTCACCCATGGAATGCTGTCTGGAAGACTCCAAACAGGAACTTTCAATTGAGTCCAAACCTGTCAGGGGAAAGAAGCAAGCCAGTATGAGCCATCAGAGCCCAGGACCAAGCGGAGACTCAAATAGCCTCCTCCCTCCCAGTTCACACTCTCCTGGGGCGACCTCCAGCCAGTCAGAACGCAGAGCCAGCCGCTGGCAGTCTCTAACTGTGCCCTTAGTGTCCCTTTGTCCCCTTGTCCCCAATATACTTTTCTTTGTCCCCTCTTCTTTTCTAAGCTTGGGAATCTTGCTCCTGTCTTGCCTCTCCTTCTGGGGCTGCCAATACCCAGCCCAGGGTGTGTCCCAGAGTAGGATGAGTTTAGCATCTGCCTTCTTTGCATCTGGCAAAACCAGCCACACGGCTCTTGAGAACCTGGGGCTGCACAAAGCATGGGGCTGGCTGGCAGGTGAAGATGGAGGCCAGCTTGGTAGGCGGTGGGCGGATGGGCGGGGGGCAGTGAGGGAGAGGAGAGGGTGAACTCTCTTTGGGGTTACAGCCGGAAGTCTAGTGTTGGCAGGGCTGTGTCACGAGGTCCCTGGACTCGGCCGCATTATTTTCCTCTTGTGTTTGCCTCTCCTTGTCCTCAGTAACGTCATCCTGTTCCCCTGGGAACGACAGCAGGCCTTCGTCTCCTGGCTCAGGACTCCACGCCAGCAGCCCAACTGCATCTCAAAATAACTCCAAAGCAATGATGAACTCCTCCTCCAGCTTTAACTCCTCAGGGTGAGCTGCGGGGGAGCACCGAGGCCCCGGACTGGGCCAGTGCCTTGGGACAGAGACCTTGTCATGAGACAGGAAGAGGGGGGTGGGGTGGCAGGGAGAGGAGAGTGGAGAGCCACACTGTACCCTCCAAGAGTGGGGACTTGGGGACGAGAAGTCCTGGCAAGGAGCAGATGTCAACAAAGCTAAAATTTCCATCTTTGCTTTGATGATGGAAATTTCCAATCACCCCTATCAGGAAGGCCCAGGTCCTTTGCCGGGCTTAGGAATGCTTCACTCCACGCCAGGAACCTGCCTCTCTCGATGTTCAGACATGTGCTTAGAACTTAGGCACAAACAAACCCCTAGGCCTCAGGTGTGGCGGACACAGGGAGACAGGGAAGTGGTAGTGATTGCTGTGTTCCTCTCCAGCCTGGGTGGCAGCGGGAAAGTAGCCTTCTAGGCTGTAGCCATTGAGCCAAAGAAGCTACCCTAAAAGCATTCTCAGAGAAGACACCTTGAGAATTTGCCTCGATGTAGGAGAAAACAGAGATTTAAAAAGTTAGGTGATAGCTGGGCACGATGGTGCATGCCTATAATCCCAGCACTTGGGAGGCTGAGCCAGGAGCAAGCTTATTCCAGCCCAGTGTGGGCTTCACATACCAAAGACCCTGTCTCAAAAAAAGCAAGAAAGTTGGGTGATAGACTCCCCACCTGAACATCTAGGAAGAGATGATGCCACTTGTCCTGATCCAGTCAGTTCAGCAAGGCAGACAACTTTGATTGGCCAATTGTGGCAGAGCAAGAAGTCGACAGGCATGGTAGCACATGTCTGTAATCCCAGCTATGCAGGAGACATTGGTAAGAGAATCACAGTTAGAGGCTGCCCCCTCCCCCAGAGCCAAGAGCAAGGTCCTACCTGAAAAGTAGCTAGAGCAGAGAAGAGCTGGAGTTGTTACCTGACAAGGACAAAGTCCTGAGTTCCAAACCCTAGTACTATCAGAAAAATACAATTAAGATACAATTCTTGTATCACAAAATTCACCATTTTAAAGTGTAGAGTTTTGTGGGCTTTTTCCCTATAATTACTAAACTGTGCAACTATCACCATGATCAAAACACATGTGTGTATATACATGTGTATATATGTGTGTCTATATGTGTATGTATAATCAAAACTCATATATACCTATATATAGTATGGATATGTAGATATAGAGTATATAAAGAATTTGAACTCAAAAGTCTTATGCTTGGTATTTTACCACATGAGCCACACGCCCACTACTTTTTTCATGAGTTATTTTTGAAATAGGATCTCAATTGATTTTTGCCTGGACTACAGTCCTCCTAAATACACGTCTTGTGTAAGCAGGATGACTGATGTACACTGCCATGCCCAGCTTTTGGTGGTTGGGATGGGGGGGTCTTCAGGATGCTTTGCCTGGGCCGGCCTATACCTGCTACCAGTCTTTCTCCATCACATGTTTAACTTTGGAACGGGCCTGTTTCTTGTCTTCCCTCCAGATCTTGGTACCGATGGAGCCACCCCACCTACCTCCACTGAGACCATACAGCTCCCCTACGCCCCCGGCCCGTGTGCCCCACTGGGAGGAAGGGAGTCCTGCCTTCCACATCTGGACAGATTCCCTTCAAAGGAGTGGAAGAAAAGCCCACTCTTGCCTTTTCCGGGAGCAGAGGCCTCTGGAGAGCCAAGCTGTGACTGAGCCATGCGCTGGCTTCTGATGCTCTGAAGATAGGAGGCCCCCTCGTGGGAACTGACCATGTTCACTTTCCTGGCCTGTGTCCTGCCTTCTAGCTCTGAATATTCTAGACCGTTCTACCACGGAGCTGTCTCCATGGAGTCCTGTGTTGCAGAGAGAGGCCTTCTAGCCATTCTTCTCCAATTCAGCTAAAGGGTTTGCCTGGTGTGCCAAACTACCAGAAGAAGACATAAAAGTTTTAACTCTGAATGTAGCCGCAATCCCAGGCTGACCCCCAACTTGGAGGAAAGATTAGGATCAGATATCTCCCCAGAAGCCTAGATGTCTTCTGAGCTCAGCAACATTTTTACTTTCACCTTTTTTTTTTTTTAAACAACTGGCTCCCTGGTACTAGGGCATGAACTCTTGCCTGTTTTTTTCACTTGAGCTACAGTTCCACTTGCTGCTTTTTTTTTTCTGATTAGTTGGAGATAAGAATCTCAGATTTTCCTGCCTAGGATCAATTCGAACCATGATGCTCACATCTCAGCCTCTTGAGTAGCTAGGATTACAGGCCTAAACTACTGGTGTCCAGCTAGATCTTTTCCCCTTCTGCAACCTCCAGGTTCAATTCCTTTTTCACCATCTGCTCTGGCCCCCAGACACTTTTGCTCCACCCTGTGGTTCTCTTCTGTTTATTCAAGGGTACCCCGAAGTGCAAGAGCTGTGCTTCCGTCCCTCCCTCCCGCATTTCTCCTTCTCCAGTCCTCCTTTAGGCTGCAGAGAAGAAAGAACTCAAGAGTAAGCTCACAACCATGTCACCAGCAACATACTTGTACATAGTCCTTTCCAGGTTTTACATTATGTTCTTTTCTCCTTAACGTGGAATTTTCCAGGAAAAAAAAAAGTTTAACTCAGGTGTGAATTTTAAAGACATCTCTGTAATATTTTATCTTCTTTTAAAAAAAGAAAAGAAAGGAATTAAAAGAAAACAAAACCAAAGTGTCAGTTACTTCCACGGAGTTTCCACATGGGCTGGGCCACTTTACTGACTCTCTTTTTACTTTTTCTTTTCTTTTTTTGAAATATTATCCTTCAAATCTCATTCTTTGTGGGCCAGTGTGTAGAGCCAGCCATATCATGAAGCCAAAATGACTACTTTTTTAAAAAAGACTACATATCCAGGAAATGGTTGAGACGCAAAGGAATCTCTATTCTTAAGTCAGTTTGTTCTGTGATGAGATGAATGATTCCACTCCTGATCAAAAAGGCTTCAGTATCAGCTCTGTGCTTTTTATTTTTCTTTATGAGGCAGGGAGGGACTTGAGTGCATGCAACAAAGTGAAGGCTGGAAAATTATTCCGGTTGGTACATGACTTTGTGTTACCCCACTCTTAGCCCCAATTGATGCTAAGAAGTTAATACAGAGCCCTGAAGAGTTCAGCGTTCCTATGCTTTGGCACAAAATTACCTTGAAGGCAGAGTAGGCAAGAGATTTGTTTCTTCATTTTGTAAATGAGAAATGCAACCGGTTAAGTTCAGCTCAGAGGCTGAATAGGTGAAGGCCAGGGCCTCTTTTTTTTCCCATCCTTCTTCCCTTCCTTCCTTCCTTCCCTCCTTCCTTCTTTCCTTCCTTTCTTCCTTCCTTCCTTCCTTTTTCCCTTCCTTCCTTCCTTCCTTTTTCCTTCATTCCTTCCTTCCTTCTTCCCTTCCCTCCTTCCTTCCTTCCTTCCTTACTGCCTTCCTTCTTCTTTCATTCATTCCTTCCTTCTTCCCTTCCCTCCTTCCTTCCTTCCTTCTTTCCTTCCCTTCTTCCTTTCTTTTTTCCTTTGCCAGTCCTGGGTCTTGAACTCAGAGCCTGGGCGCTATCCCTGAGCCTTTTTGTGCTCAAGACTAGTGTTCTACCACTTGAGCCACAGCCAGTGTCACTTCCAGCTTTTTCTGTGTGGTTTATTGGAGATAAGCGTCTCACAGACACTTCTGCCACAGTGGCTTTGAACCAAGATCTTCAAATTTCAGCCTCCTGACGAGCTAGGATTACAGGCAGAGCCACCAGTGCCCTGCTATCTCTTATTTCAGATACCCTACAGGTGGACTAGTTTTTCTCAATGGAAATTAGTAGCTATTTTAGGCAGAAGGTCATTTAAAAGCTACATATAAGCTGGGCATCAGTGGTTCACACCTGTCACCCTAGCTACTTAGGAGGCTGAGATCTGTGCATCACTGTTAGAAGCATAAGCAGGAAAGTCTATGAGGCTCTTGTTTCCAATTGACACCAAAACAAGCCAGAAGTGGAGCTGTGGCTCAAATGGTAGGGCACTAGCACTAAGCACAAAACTCAGGGACAGTGCCCAGGCCCTGAGTTCAAGCCCTGGGACACACACACACACACACACACACACACGCCACATATATTTGGCTTTGGAATATATTGGCACCTTCAGCAAGGAGGTTAAAGGTCATGGAGGCTATTTGGGGGGGTGTCATGGGTAATTAAAAATATAAATAGTTATCATTGAGCTATAGGAAATAAAGTTCCTACATATAACAGCTGATGAAAAAATCTAAGGTTGAATATTTGTTTCAAATAATAGCATCGTGTGGGAAACCTGGGCAGAAGAGTCAGCTGATCCTGGAACTTGAATGTGGTTCATATGAAAAGTTCTCCCTCATGCCACAAAGTGGAAGGAGGCCTATCAGTAGGGGTTCCCTTGTCAAGAAAAAGTTCTAGTTCAAGGGGTCAGTGGGGTGCAATGGGACATCTCTAGAGCATCAGCTATTCAGGAGGCTGAGCCAGAGTAGGCAGCATGAGACCCCAAGTCAAAGAAAGAACAGAGTTTTGGGAGCTACGTATATAGCAAAGAGACAGCAGGAGAGACAGTCAGTGGTGTGGATCTGCAGGGCCTCCCCTGACTCCTAGGCACCCATGCCCATGTGCACCCTTCCTGTGTACTAATAGAGACCAGGGCCGACCCTTTCCTGCCACAGATCCGCCCTCCTTGGCATCCTGCTCAGGTGTGCATCTGCTCAGGTGAGTACTGAAAGTCATCTGCTCGGTCCATGCCCCTAACCTGCCCCCAGGCTAAGCTCAGGATCTCTTAGTTCCCATTGCCTGTTGCCAGGGACATTTGCTGAGCAGAATCCAACCTGTCAGTGAACACCCATCCACCGTGCCTATCGTGGGAGTCTATAAAAATCCACCATTCCAAGGAGTTCATGGGAAGTCTCTGGGAGCAGAGGTTCTTGACTTCAGTTGCACACAAGCACAACCGTGGGGAGCGTTGGCAGTGAGTGAGGCCTACACAGAGAGCAGAGTCAGATTGACTTTAGGGGAGGAATTGGGATTCTCAGAGCTCTCCCAATGGCTGTAATGTGTGATGAAGGTGGAAAAGTCCACGTTCACATGCAGATCTGGCAGCTGGTGATGTGCAATCCCAGTGCTGGGGAGGTTGAAGCATGAGAATTGTGAATTCAGGGCCAACTTGGTGACATGGTGAGAACTTGTCTCAGAAAGCAAGACAACAAACTAAGCAAACATGAAGATCCTGCCTTCACAGGACTGGAGTTAGGGACTGAGATTCTATGTTTCTCACGAGCTCCCAAGTGATGTAGATTTTCCTGGTTCATCAGCTCCAGTTGCTCAGCCACATGGCAGGATCCCTCTTGCTACCTACGAAGACTCTTCCTCTGGGTATCAGATGTAGTTCAGGCCCTGGAACAGCACGCTCACTCGCCCTTCTTTCCTTCCTTCCTTCCTTCCTTCCTTCCTTCCTTTCTTCCTTCCTTCCTTTCCTCCCCCCCCCCTTTCTTTCTTTTCTGCTGGTCCTGGGGCTTGAACTCAGGGCCTGGGTGCTGTCCTTTAGCCTCTTTGTGCTCAAGGCTAGTGGTCAACCCCTTGAGCCACAATACCACTTCTGGCTTTTTTTCTGAATAGTTTATTGGAGATAAGAGTCTCAAGGACTTTTCTGCCAGGCCTGGCTTCCAACTGTGATCCTCAGATTGCAGCCTCCTGAATAGCTAGGATTATAGGCATGAGCCACTGTGCCTGTTAAGAAATACTCTTAAGACTTGAGAAAGAGGGACTCAGTGGTAGAGCGCTTGCCTCTTAAGACTTGAGAAAGAGGCGCTCAGTGGTAGAGCGCTTGCCTTGCATGCATGAGGCACTGGGTTCGATTCCTCAGCACCACATAAGCAAAAAGAAAAAAGCCAGAAGTGGCGCTGTGGCTCAAGTGGTAGAACGCTAGCCTTGAGCTGAAGAGCTGAGGGACAGCACCCAGGCCCAGAATTCAGGCCCCACGAGTGGACCCAAAAAAAAAAAAAAAAAGACTTGAGAAAGATAGGTTATCTGAAAGACCCCAGGCAGGTTTTAAAATACACCGATTTCTAGCCCCCATGCCCAACCTACCAAGTCAACTAACTCACACATTCAATGTGAAGTCTGCATAGGGTGTTTATTCTTATATTATTAATTTTATTTTTGCCAGTCCTGGGGCTTGAACTCAGGGACTGGGCACTGTCCCTGATCTTCTTTGTGCTCAAGTCTAGTGTTCTATCTCTTGAGCCACAGTGCCACATCAGGCTTTTCCTGAGTAATTTATTGGAGATGAGCCTCACAGCCTTTTCTGCCTGGGCTAGCTTTGAACCACAACCCTTCGATTACAGGTGTGAGCCACCATTACCTGGCTTATTAAACTTTTATTGTTATTATAAAGGTGATGTACAGAGGGATTATAATTACATAAGTCAGGTACAGTGTACATTTCTTCTTTTTGTTGGTCCTGGGGCTTGAACTCAGGGCCTAGGCACTGTTCCTGAGCTCTTTCACTCAAGGCCAGCGCTCCACCATTTTGTGCCACAGTACCACTTCCAGTTTTTAATTGGAGATAAGAGTCTCATGGACTTTCCTGTGGCTTTGAACGGGGATCCTTAGGTCTTGGCCTCCTGAGTAGCTAGGATTACAAGTGTGAGCCACCAGCACCCAACAAGAGTATATTTCTCATCCAATTTTTCTTTCCCATCCCTACCCACAAAGTTGTATAGTTCATCTTCCACATAGTGTCTAGTAAGCATTTGTTCACCCTTGGTCCTTCCATTTCTGGGTAAACAAACACACTGCATGGGGTGTTTTGAAAGCAGTACAGATGATCAAGAAGCACCAGAGATTACACTATCCTGTTGATGGCTGGGGACCAGTGGCTCATGTCTATAATCCCAGCTACTCAGGAGGCTGGGATCGGAGGAGAGCAGTTCAAAGCCAGCCTTGGCAAGGAAGTCTGTGAAACTTCTTACCTCCAATTAACCACCAAAAAAGTTGGGAGTGAAGCTGTGGCTCAAGCCTTGAGCAAACGAACAAAAAAAAAGCTCAGCGACAATGCCCAGGTCCTGAATTGCAGCCCAGGTACCAGCACACACACACACACACACACACACACACACGTTAAATATATATATGTAATATATATAAATATATATTATATATATATTTAACGTATATAATATATATAAATAAATATATATATATTTAACGTGTGTGTGTGTGTATGTATGTATATAAAGTTGACTGCCCAGTGGGCATACCCAAGCGGGGGTTCTTCTTAAACCTTTGGCTTCGCTCAAAAGCGGATAACCTTTCCTCCCCATCCTGAGCTGTTCCCTCTCGGTCAGTCACCGGTGGGCTGGCGTCCCCCCTCCCAATCAGGCGGGAGGGCGAGCGCTGGCAACGCGCTTAGTAGGGGGGCGCGAGCACTTAGTGGGCGCTGGGAAGGCTCAGCGACTAAGCCGCTCCACCCGGGGAGGGCGGCGGGTCGGGACTTAGCCAGCCGGCCGCACACGAAGGCCACAGCCCGCAGGCCCAGGGT